TTGAGCTCAGCTGGTAGACCTCTGGTCGGAAAGGGGCCTGATCTGGTTGAATCCACCCTCGTCCTGCTTCAGCAGGTTCAATCCGGCCTAGTCCCGCTCAGTCCAGCTTAGTATTGGGCTCGATGTGGTCTAATCCGGCTCAATGGCGAGTAGATGCGGTTCAATACGTAGCCCTTCATGCGTTCGGGCGAAGACCTCCCAGGAGTTGCCACCTACACTGCATCGCTGAGCCTCTTCTCATTCTCCTCCGGCTCTTCATTGCTCGCCCCCATCCTCGTACTCCGATCGGGCCATCTACCAGCCTGAATCACATCTCTATCCCTATGATTGGCATCACCTTCTCGCAATGCCGATCTTAAGGATCCCATCCGTTTCTGAGGACGCATCCTTCAGATCGTCATCGCCTTTTGGCTAGTCCATCTTATCATGCTCCGCACCCCCCCCCCCATCTTGCCCCTGTCCGCCTGCTGTCGCTGACGCTGCTGCTGCTGCGCAGCCTTCTTTTTGGCTCGAGCAGCCATGGCCTGCTCTTTCCATGAGCCGCGGCCGATACCGTGCTGATCCATGGCGGCCCGGGGCGCCGGTCTCGCTGCCCTGGCCAGCATCGTGGCCAGCACACAGCGGCAGGTGGCGGCGATCTCTCTGGGTCAGCAGGGCATCGGCACCTTCGAGGATGGTGTCGTGGGCAGCTGGCGAGGCATCCCCCTGGAGGAGATCGACCCGTCCAAGTACCCAGAGTTCGTGCAGTGGATCGACAGCGACATCCCTGCAGAAGAGTCGGTGTTGAGACAGGCGCGCGACGACGCTAAGAAGAATAAGGGCCCTCCGCACTTCCCAGACCTCCGCAGCTACATGGACAGGTGCCAAGCCATGGATCCAGAAGTGGTTGAGATCCCCACCTGGATGGGCCGAATGGGCAACCGCATCTGGCAGGTCCTGAATGCTCGGGTGTTGCTACATGCCCCTGGCCCAAGGTGCCCGCCGGCTTTCCAAGGAGGCCCCCACGACCTCCAGAGCACCCCTCACGCGGCCCACAGGGCCCCAGGGGTTTTAACATTGAGCGCATTGGGCGGAAAGCGGGGGAAGGCACCTTGGGCCATGGGAACCTTTTAGCGACCCCCGACATGCCGTCCGCATCGCCGAGGCGACGGGCAGACAGTTCGTGAAGATCCCAAGAACAGGGGGCGGCCTCGACCACCACCTCTTCGGCAACCCGGAGGGTCGGCTCATCGAGGTCACGCCTCCAGAGTTCCCAGGGACCTGCGATTTCATCCCTGTCTCCGGCAAGATGCATGCGTGGCACCACGATTGCCGCTTCCTCTTCTTCAACCGTTGCCGCACCACTGTCAAGGAGCGGATGGCGACCTACAACAAGTACATCATGCCACTCATGAGGGACGACATTATGGACAGGTGCAAGGCTGGTGCGGACGATGAGGTCACCATCCACATCAGAAACGGCGACGTTGCCCTGCACATCGACC